GTTTTACAACTGCAAAAGAAAACAACAGATGTGTCTCGTGCCTTGGAAAACATAGTTTCCAAGCATGTAAGTCAAAAGCGTCTTGCTTCAAATGTCACAAACGTCATCACACCCTTCTTCACCTCGAACACGTCAAGACGCCTCAAGATTCTACATTGTCTCAACCTTCATCCACTCATATCCCGAATGACACACCTCCCGTATCTCTTTGCTCAGAGAAAACGCGTCTTACCCCTACTCAGCCTACCAACAACCCATCTCAACTCAACAGCTCTACCACAACAGCTGACTCCTCACTACGCAAGATTATTGATACCTCTCTGTATTCTCAAGACTCAAAACAAAACATTCAGCGATTCTCTTCACTACATGACTTCAAGTGGTATCCTCACAGGACCTGCCCACAAAGTGTCCCCTCTACCAATTGTAGATTTATGAACTGTTTTCATTGAATCCACTGGGGATTCAAGGCCCCCGGTATGTTCAGTAAACTTCCTTTATATTTTCATGTTATCTATATTTCATAATCTTTGGCTCAGTTATTTTCTTAAATATTTTGCTTTCAAACATATGTTCTTGAAATTAAATTATTTCCCTATTATTAAATTGGTGACATATGTTGTGTATCAAAAAGTAAATAAAAACAGTGCTTGTTCTCCTATCCCAAAAGTGTGTTCATTTTTTTCTCATCTTATAATCTCCATTTAATTTCATTCTCTACAAAACATTCATATTAAGCATTATTCAAGTATGGTGTGTGTGAAGTTTGGTGCGGATCCGTCAAAACGACTCCGCCCCAGAGGATTTTAATTTGGCCAATGTCCGACTTTTTGAACTGCAATGTTTACAAATAAATATAACTAGCTGTTACCCGGCGGCAACTGTTTTGTATGTTTGAATAATCATAACATGCTGTATTTGTGAAATGATAACTATGTTACTAGTAATCATTTATCAGTTTTAGATTAATCCAGTGTTCTAGAAGCTAATTCAAAATGCATTATAATAACTAGTTCAGCCATAAAAACAATTATGATGTCCAAATTATGATGAAAATAAACATTGATTAAATCTCAAATCTGCAAGGTACATAGCTTAAAACATTTCTCTATAACATTCTAAAAAAAAATCCTCCTAATAATACCATGAAAATCTGAAATCGAATATAATTTCCTGACAACTTTATCCAATTATACGTAGTTAATATTTGCTGTATTACATTTAATAGGGATAACAAGAGTTTTAAGAGTGCCAGCAATTTTCTAAATAAAGCCTTGACTTTTTCGAAGTTCACCCCTCTGGTATGTCAATACTGGCTTGAGATCAGCGCCTGATTTCTCACTAATTCTCCAACCATAATTTCACTAGTTTCCAGAAAGAGAGGGAGAGCCTATTATTTATCTTATAATCTAAAGATTTAAAGGCAGAATCCTGGGTAATTACGGATATAGGCTTAAGGGAGGATATTTTATCTATGTTATTACAATCGATTCAACAATCAAGTTATACTTTCGATACATGCGAAAGTTTACAGTCTAAATTTAAAACTGAGTTGACAACTAACTGAATTTTAAAATAAAACTGAATTTTAATGCATAGGGACTAAAACACTCTTTACTCCCCATGCCCGAGATAGAGAGTAAAAATGCTACTTTAGACCCGCAACGCATGCATTAAAATGGCGGTTTTTGATGCATTATGAAGAAAAAGTCGGTTTGTAGTTTACCAAATAACGCAAGATAATGTACTGTAATCCAATTATTCAGTGTAATTTGGGTTATCTCTATTTTATTTTATTTTCATATTTTCCCCATCAAATTAATCCACTGTATGAACAGGGAAACACATACTGTACTCAAGTATAGAATTACTATCCTTATGACCTGAAAACAAATTGTAGGTTCTGTTTCTGTACGGTTTAAGTGGAGTGCGATTTGATATTTACTAGTACTTCTTGTTATTTCACCACCTATTTAAAATTGTATTTAATTATAAACTTGTCCTATGGTAGGCCTAACGGGTAAAAGTAGACGATGTAATACTAGAGAAACATATTTTGTCGATATCAGTAAACTTGGGCATAAAACACGCGAAATAGGCTTCACATCCCCACTAGGAATACTAGGATGAGACTACTTGCAGTGTATCCTAAGTCAATGCAACCAGATAATTCTAGTTCGCCTCTAACTCCCCTATATCTAAATTACTCGTTCACCAAACTACGGATGCGGTGTGCGTGTTTTTATGTTGTAGGTGTGGCACCACTGATGTACCATGTGTCAGAACAGCTGGTAAATGATCTGCGTGGATTGCAGGTGTCATCGACGTTTGAAACTCCCGCCACCGCTACAGGTGATTGGAGCCGGAAACGGAAAATAAACAATGACATTCGTCACGGCAACAGCTGATTAATATGTGTCACTAGAGTCGTTGGTCGTTAGTAGTTATTGTTTGTTGATTAATTGTCGGGTAAATTATGTAACGGGACTCGGTGTTTTAGAGGGAAATTACGAATAGGTTTGCTGAAAAATTGCCCGGCATTTTCTCATAGGCACAGCATATGATACTTGGTACTTTGCAATATGTTACTTTACAACAGGTGACGCAAATGATGGAGGGACTGTCATAAGAATGACAAGAACTTCAATGTGTTGTTCACAATCCAAAGTTGTACTATACCAGTAAATTGTCTTGAAATAGTGCAGGTACCATTCATATGGGATAATATTTTGTGTAACTGTATAGACATAATACCACAATAATATTATAAGACATTTGAATCAATTTTATTATTGTTCCCTTCTTATTTCTATAGTGGTTCACAGATGTGTTGCAAAAACATGTACCCGATGTGGTTTTGTGTATGCATATAGCCAGCTCACATCAAATCAGTGTAAGTAGGCCAACAATACACGGAAGTATTTAACCAATTAAATTAAAAATTTCTGTGATTCAGTAAAGGTAAAATAATGATTTTTATTCCCAATCTAATGAGATTAAGATTCATAGTTTTCTCACTTTAGATAAACTATGCCACTTTGGCTCTTGACTTTTATATGATTGGTATAAAATATATTCACCATGTTTATCACTAGAAGAATTCATTTATGCCAGTTGTACTAGTGGACAGGGGTGGAGTCCTGGTACAGTGCCTGCGGCGCCATCGACCTGATTGACTGATGCACCTCACGAGGTGTTTGATGATGATGAAGAGTCAGATCAGGCGCCAGAAGATAAATCCCAGTCAATCAGCTGTGAGACATCGATTCCAGCTGATATTAATTGCGCGAGCCGCGAACCAGCTGATTACCTCCATCAATATTAAATTAGTAATTCCTTGATCGATATCCCTACTCATTATGTATCCCTAGTGTTTGGCAAAGCTCGAGAAAAACAAATAAAAGACGAAATAATCATACAAACGGCTTATTATCATTTTCGTCTTGGCCGGGAAGATGCTTGGTGAGGCTCCAAAAGAACACTCCGTTTTATCGCTTCTGGCGCGGATCTGGTGGCAATAAGATCATAATGGCCTCTTAAGGAGACAAATTAAATCATACGTCTTGAGTTTTCAGGGGGTCTGTGTGTAATGATTCTGCAAAATATACTTTTATGGGTGCATTATGTTTATACCCCGAACTTTAATGGAGGGTTACTCTGTAAAACTGTATCAGCAAATGGGATATGTATTTAATAATCCTAATCATGTTCAAAGACTTGCACATGAAAATAATATTTTTTGTATGCATTAGAGTAACTATTGGTTTCATACCTAACAGGAAAGAAAACGGGACAGACTGCATACAAATTCTTAAGTAAAGGAACTAATATTATTGTATTTTAACACCATTTGAGATGAGAATGTACCTGGGTGTACTTTAACACAATAACATCTATTATGTACATGAGTAAATAATGAATGTAAAAGGGTGTATTAAAGCGTTTGTCTTTTCTTATAATCGACCAGCGACCCTTTGATCCGTAGGCGAGCGCTATTATCCTCAGCCACCCGGGTCCGTGCTACCCAACAAAGATGCATAATTCACAGCGATGTTAAAACTTATTAAAAAACAACAATATTGTAACTGATTGATCAAATCTGAACACCTTCCAGGCAGTCCGACAGTGTAAATCCGACCCCAACTACCAGTGTTGGGATATGCATCTCCACTTCATTCTACACATACATATCTCTGCAACTGCCAGTGGCACCGCGTCGCCGTTCCAGTAGCGATCCATCCCGGCTTAGTCCGCTAGATCATTATTAATGTCCTGGTGACATTAATGTTTGTACCTCTGCTGTTGCCACCTCCATGACTAACTGCCCCCGCTCACGCAGTGTGACCAACCACCAACACACAGCATTGCCAACCTACGTCTCGTGACATCTGTGTGATCGCGTGTCTACTGATGGTTGGTACACCTGTTGCTGCTACTGCATGCTACCACGAACTTGTGGCTCCCTCTCCTATTTATTACGGTTTTGTTTTTCCCTTGATTTGCCCCAGGTGGTGTCTCTTGGTCACGACAACATTCAATTATCGAATGTGGAGTTCGGAGCGGTGGAAGACGAATGTGTGATGAGTCCAGGCTGATGAGAGGGTGCTATGCGTTGTCGGATCGGGGGTAGGATTGATTAGAATAGTTGGCAATTTAACAGTTCACAATATACATGTGAAATGGCTGTAAGGATCTGCACTCTACCAATTACGCGAACAACTAAATGTACAACAGAAAAATATTAATCGTGTCCAATGAATAGACACGCATTCACTCGTGCACCTTCGTCAAGAAGTAACACATCCCATTTAATCGATAGTTTACTTTTAGGAAAGTGTTTCTTTCATCTTTCGGGGAGTTATTTCTTAAGCAATTAAGTAAAGGCCCCATGCACTCCAGTTCTTCCAGTCAAGATGCTTTGGAAGCAATCACCTAAGTTATAAGATGAAATATCTCTCAGTCAAGACGATCTCTAATCCATCCCTCCCACAACAATTAAAATGTTGGTGGAAGCTATCCCTCCTAATCAACCCGCTATAAAAGCTATTCCTCCTCCCTGCCGAGACGCTCTAGAAGCTATTCCTCCTGCTAGACAAGACGCTCTAGAAGCTATTCCTCCTCCTAGACAAGACGCTTTAGAAGCTATTCCTCCTCCCTGCCAAGACGCTCTAGAAGCTATTCATCCCCCTAGCCAAGACGCTTTAGAAGCTATTCCTCCTCTTAGCCAAGACGCTCTAGAAGCTTTTTCCTCCTCCCTGAAAAAAACTCTCTAGAAGCTATTCCTCCTCCCTGCCAAGACGCTCTAGAAGCTTTTCCTCCTCTTAGCCAAGACGCTCTAGAAGCTATTCCTCCTCCTAGCCAAGACGCTCTAGAAGCTATTCCTCCTCCTAGCCAAGACGCTCTAGAAGCTTTTCCTCCTCCTAGCCAAGACGCTCTAGAAGCTATTCCTCCTCCCTGCCAAGACGCTCTAGAAGCTATTCCTCCTCTTAGCCAAGACGCTCTAGAAGCTATTCCTCCTCCCTGCCAAGACGCTCTAGAAGCTATTCCTCCTCTTAGCCAAGACGCTCTAGAAGCTTTTCCTTCTCCCTGAAAAAAACTCTCTAGAAGCTACTCCCCCTCCCTGCCAAGACGCTCTAGAAGCTATTCCTCATCCCTGTCAAGACACTCTAGAAGCAATTCCGCATCCCTGCCAAGACGCTTTAGAAGCTATTCCTCCTCCCTGCCAAGACACTCTAGAAGCTATTCCTCCTCCCTGCCAAGACGCTCTAGAAGCTATTCCTCATCCCTGCCAAGACGCTCTAGAAGCAATTCCGCATCCCTGCCAAGACGCTTTAGAAGCTATTCCTCCTCCACGACAAGACGCTCTAGAAGCTATTCCTCCCAGTCAAGATGCTCTAGAAAAATCTCTTACAGTCCAGACACTGTACAATTGATTTCTCACAAAAAAAAACCTTCAGATTCTTTATTCTGAAGAAGCCATTTCTCCCACTCAAGTCGCTTTAGAAGAAATCCTGACTATCTTTTATGGTATCTGGAACTTATTTGTTAGTTTTAGTGACTCTGCTGAATGTTATAGCACTGGAAGGCTCATGAATAATATGAATCTTGGTACGATTTTTACAAGAAAGGGTCCAAGAGGTTTGGCATATATAAGACCAAATTACTCTGATTTAAGATTTACTCTTATCATCGTCTACGTATGGTAATTTAAAAACCAATCAATTAAATTTTTAAAATACTTACGTTTCTTACAATTTCGGAAAAAAAGATGTACTAAAAAAAGAGTAAAATATTCATTGTTTTCCAAATTGCAGGGGTAACCCGACAACGTCCTAATGCAAGGCTGGTGTTTCATAACGAGCTTTCGAGAAGTAAATTCAATTTTTCACGCTTTAAACGTAATTTTGTCCCTGTGCTCAGTAAATCAACAAAGGGGGTAAAATCCGTTTCCCTTGCCCGTCTCACTGGCAAGCCTCCAGGAGTTTGATATTTAATTGCGCGTATAATCGCGTACGAGGGCCCTAATGTGCTAAATATGTACAATCGCGGGCCTTACTTGCCAGCTCCATTTATCTTTTAATGGCCCTCAGGCCGTTTTATTAGGGTGTTTTATTTTTAAGGGGAATCGGCGACGGAATTAAAAAAATTAGATATTAACATTCGGAACACGAGTTTGAGGGGAACTTTTACAAACCTCGTGCGGACGAGGGGCCATTGGAATTCAAGATTGTGTGAACAGACTGACTGAATGAATTGGTCGTGAAGTAGGTTTGTATCTTTACCAACCTGTGCGTTATATGCTCCTGTATTATAAACACGTATGGTTTTTACATGATTTCTCTAATCATTCGATTTATTATCATATCGTATTTATTTCCATAATATAAACACTCTATTAGATTTAGAACTTGAAATGTAGAGCCTACTTTAGCTAAAGCCACTTGATCGCGATGATCAATTAATTATTTCAAAACACGTCGTAATTGCTTTTAAAAAGGTTTGTTGGTTATTGTAATTGAGAATTCCTTTCCTAGATGTAGGGATTTGGTTTGCAGGGCTCATACTAAACGGTGATTTGACACCTTTAGCTGTTTGTCTGGTCTAAAATGAATATCAAACAAAGAGGACTTGAAATTCTTCAATCTTAAACTGAGAACAGAATAATATTTACGTCATTGAAACTACAATCTTAGGAATCATATATCAGAGGAAATTACATGAATGAAATACAGTATTGAAATGGCCCAATGTCATCGAGAGAGACTTCGTAAAGCATATAGGCGTGTAAACATAATTATAACGTCACCACTTGTTACTAAATTACTAGAGTTAAAATTACCCATATTATATATTAGAGAAAATGGTATATCGTCGAACCACTTGTAATACTTTCATACTTTTTAATGAAATGGCGACCATACAAAGTAGATATTTTTAACCTACTCATGTAAAGATGTCAAGAGTATTGCCGGCTTTAGGCCAAATGATAAAGTAACCAAGATTAGCTCAGCATTATCAACCATATTTTTCATCAAATTGTTTATTATTCGAATTTCCACGTGACGACCGCAGTTACAATAGTTTCTCGGACTCCCGCTGTTGCTGTACCCCTGGCTGCTGGAGCTGGTGGTAGGGCCTCGCCCCAGAGGGAGGATGGAGGATATCCGCTCTGCCCCAGCGGCCTTGGACCCAGGAAACGTTCCACCTCGCCTCCGCCCTGTACCTGTGCAACATCCCATGGTGATATCTGCTATCACCTCTGTGGTGGTGTGAGTCAAATTGCCAGAGAAATCCAGAGTAATTAAAATGACTGACTGATAATAGTATATTTCATCACTAGTTAAAGTGACTCTTTTGACCCGAAGTCAAGTTTTACGATCGAGGCGAAACTGAGGTCGGAAAATGAGAGAGGGTTAAAAAATCACTTTTTACCCGTGTGGTGAACTATATTTTTCGTCATATTGCATCATTAATTAACAAACAAAGATGCAAAACGAAATAATTTGTATGTAAAGATAACCTCTGAAAACGACTTCCAGCTTGTTTTCAATTCTGCTAATGCAAATAAGCAGCTGTTTAGTAAGTTGTTCAATCATTTAGTCTATTTACAACTACTGTTGATGAAATTGATTTTTACTCCCTAGGGTAGAGAGTAAAATGCTACTTTAGACCCGCAACGCATGCACTAAAAACGGCTGTTTTGCTATCGTATGACGAAAATATCATTATAAAAATTATTATCAAATCATTCGCCTATTGGGTCTGATGATGATCGGAGTTTCCAATCGAAATCGATCACCACTTGCAATCTTTTTTGTATATTTACTTTCTTGTGAGTAACAGTATAAGCGTAAATATATGTTTTAAGTGTTATAAGACTTTTTTTTACTTACTTTCCTTATTTTTACACAAAAAAAACTTTATATTTCAGTTATATTTTTTCAGATCTTTTTGATCTTGGTATCGTTTGATAGGGAATTAAAAAAGCTAAGAAAAAGTATCTAAGACAGTTTTTCATAGAATTAGCCATTTTTTTGTTTTTCAAGCTATAAAGATTCAAACGACCACCATTTTAAAATTTACAATCAGAACAACTTTATTATTTTTTATGTTATAGGTCTTGTGTATGTTAACATGGTTACAAAATTTCATAATCATCGAATGAAAAACCTCACAGATAAAAATATTTTTGTATAAAAAACAAAATGGCGTATAACTGGGTAACTATGCATTTTTGGTCATACCTCACATACACTTTTTTCTTTTCGTATGAGGATTCATTTACCAAAGTCCTGAAACGATTTTTAAGGACACTCTGTATTTATACACTTCCTAAGCTACTGTACATGGTATACCATTTAACTCAGGATACGGTAAATAGTCCGGCAGAATTGACCCGGTCCTGGTTTTCTTATATTAGGTTTTTATATTGTTAATATGTGATATCTAGGGTAAGTAGACCCTAAAAACACCGGGTACCTTTTTGGTACCCTTGGGCCGCCATCTTGAAAAATGGCAGGAAACGTAAATTACAGTGTAAGCTTTTACTCAAACTAATGTAATTGAAAAACATTAAGCTAGAGCAATGCGAGTTATTTTCAAACGTTAACGGTCAAATGCCCTATTTAGAAATACCATAGTATATCAATAATTTATTTCAAGGTCAGTATTATTTTTCATAGTTCACCTATAAAAACATATTGACATTTTTTTTTCAATTATGCTCCTTAATTAGGGTACTCAAAATATGACTATAACATATTTTATTTTGTTTCCATACCAGTTTGAATTACAATACAACTCAACATTCTACATATTTAGTAGGTTTATATAAATTTGTCTTTGCCGTTGTATAAACGTGTTTTCATATAAAAAAATCGATTTAAATTACTCTGTGATGTGTAGTTGACTAAATTTATTCCTGCAAAAAAATAATAATTTACAGAAACATTTTGATGAATTATTCGTTTATTTATCCGTCTATATTTTGTTGCAGCATTGTGCATGCACGTATTTTAGATTTCCCTGTCTCAAGGGTTAAGGGCTAAACATGTAATTCGTGTTCTTCTCCTGAACGCTGACGTCACCGGCCCATCACTTCCAGGACCTGATCCTCCAGTAGCCAGCCGGAGTGACGTGTCCAGTGGGGTGGTGGTGGAATGTCCATCACCCTCCCTGACTCATCCCCAGCCCCAGGTGGGCGATGCACCCCTGGAATGTTGCGATGATACCAGTAAAATAACACCTCAATCCGTGGATCTTCTCACTACCTGCTAAACCAGATATTCTTGTGTGGAAACAGTCACAACCACAGCTCATCTTCACAACAGCAAAACTCCTTGCAGTGAAACGTCAGAAATGATTTTTGTTTTGGGTTTTGGTACACATTGCTAAATTGTATCACTTAGATAGTTGCCGTATAAATTCTGTTGAGAATTAATTGGTGATACATTTTTTTATGGAATTCTGCATCGCATAATAAGACGAGGTTCATATTCAGCCTTAATTTAATTTAATATACTTGCCTCTTCTTTCCATTCTATATAATATAGTGAGCATCACATAAGGTGTCCACTATTGATTTCAGACAAACCATTGGTCCCACAAAACAGTGATACGAAACAAAAATTTACACTAAAACAACTTCAAGGAATAACTTACAAATTTTTGAATATTTTTTACAGGATTTACCAAAATCAGAGGTTTACTAGTTCAAATCTCACAATTAATTGTCAAATACAAACATAAATCAAATTATACATATACACTATCTTAAAGTTGTTGATAATGCAAACATGCTCGTGGAATCAAAGGCTGACTATTATTGTTCGTCAAACAATAGTGGCTCTTTTTTGTGAAAAAAATTGTACCATTTTGAATTAACTATATTTTTTTTATGCAGATATATATCTACGTTGATTACATTGTTTGATTTCGTATCACAAAAGAAAAAGTAAAAAAAAAAACTCTAGAACCAATAAACTTGGTCTGAAATGGATAGTGGACACCTTATATTCTCCCTGTCACCTTATATATTTATGCACAACTTGAGTAAAATTGGCTCGGCAATGATTTGAGTAAATAGCAAAATCTATTCTCATTTGAAAACCAGTTACCACCAAAGTTTGTTATCCCTCTGTTAAGTTGCATAATTACGAGGTTTATACAGTAATATACCAGTACACCCTGCTCCAACTCGATTTTACATTTTTGGGGAATTGTACATACGATAAAACATTTGAAGTGGTTCAGCAACGTAAATAACATCTCCAAACTGTTCAACTCCTTCTTAAGTTGTAAAATATCTGTGAGTGGAAAGCAGTATCAACCAAATTTTACAACAGTATATTATTGTATAAAAGAATTCGTACTGCATGATTAGACAAGATTTACATTCTACTTAAAGTAAAGTTGTTGTTTTATATTTATTGCC